GAAACTGTTTAATAGCTCTTAGTTTAATTGACTGTTTTTCTGTATAAAGAAGGAGTGTCTGTGTCTTCTCCTCCCAGGGGCCACAAAGACATTGTTTGGTGTATGACCACCCGGAAAGGGCGGCTCTACAGCGCTGGAGCTGATGGCGTCGTCAAGATCTGGAGTTTGGAACAGCTGGCTACAGGCTGCATCAGCAACATACAGGCTCACAAGAATGTGGTACGCACAGGACCTTCCTTGTTTGGTTTGAAGATGCCGTTGTTCCCTGCAGCCTGTCACTGCGCTACCTCATAATTACAAAGTTCTGTCTGACATTTTTGGCTGTTTTGAGTTACTAAGACCATGACGTCAGAAACCAAATATTCCATCCTCTCTATCACAATTATATGAATGTTTAGAATCATTATCAAGATATTCAGAGAATTCCATTCGAAAACCCTTGACATGTTGTGAAACTACACATTTTTTACATCAAATTTCTCAAAACTAGGTACTCAGCAAATAGAACTTTGATATTCGAGAGTAGTGACTAACAACTTCCTGCTTGCAGCTAGGGGACAGCTGCAACAAGTTTGTCCAATTCAAAAAAAGTTTTCTGGAATAAGTTTACCTTGTAGAAGTTGATTCATCTCCTCATGAAACTTTACTGTAGATCTCTTTTTGCTAAGAAATCAGACACCACATTGCTACAAATGGTCTTACACAGTAATTACATGAATAGTTCAGTTATTAATATTATAATACCGCGAACATGTTTCTTGATCTAAAATGAGTGATGTCGTGGTATTTTTTGTTGAGTGTGTTGGGGTTTTTTTTTCATATGATGTGTCTGTGTTCAAAGATGGAATTAGACCTTTACCTGTCTTTCAAGATACCGAAAGGTCATTTGACGATAGAGGTCCAGGGCATCTTTTATTTTGTTGGCTGTGACCCCTGTCAACAGATTGCCATGAAAGAGGCTTGGACAGAAGACATAATGAGTGCATAGAAGGATGCTTTCCCTTCTTGATGGGACTAATGGCTCTTGGTCTGTTCAGGGACCAACAGACCTGTATAATAACACTACATGGTGGGGGATCTAAGGGTTCAGCCCTATCAGTTAACCCCTGAATCAACAGATCATTGATGGTTAAATGCACTAAGAACATCTCCATATAGCATTGCACAGGGCATATTAAATTAAGTCATCTGGTCATCTATTGCCGGTTGTATGTCCTTTAGATCCATAGATATTCCCAGAAAGTGGGGTAGATCTGCATTTTAAATTAATTAACACTAAATGCTGTAACCGCAAAGTCGTCCATTTTATTTTGGGATTTACTTTGCCTTGCTGTCGAGACTTCCTTAAAATTAGTAACATGAGCCTTGAAATAAAGTGCCTTTTGTTTCTGTACCAGATTCACTGCATCAGCTCGTGGGGAAACTCACTCATCACGGCCGGAGCTGACATGATGATCAGCTTCTGGGACTTGGACACCAATGAGTACAAGTCTTCTATACAGGTCAGGGCAGCTTTCTGTTTATATGGGTGATTGTTTGTGTGTTGTGGTCACTGTTTGGGTGTGTGGGTTGTTGGCGGGTGCTCTGGTGTGGTTTGCTCCTTCTTTCCTATCAAACATCTATCGTCCTTATCTCCCCTTCTTCTTCTTTATGTTACTCTCTTGTGACGCCTCAAACCTTCTGGCGCTCATATGACCTTATGCAGTTGCGAGCGCCGTAAAACCTCTACTAAAACTAAACTAAAAAAGTGTTTGGATGTAGGTGCATGTGGGTCAGTGTGTGAGACACAAGTGGGTACAAGTCCCACCCCCCCCCCCCCACTCGGGTGAGATCGAATTTCTGTTTGTGATTGTGGGTGTCTGTGTCCGTGAGCTTGTTTGTCCATTTCAGGGATCTGGGCATTAGTGAAAATAAGTCCTCTGTACCAATTAGGGTAAGTTTGTGTTTATATGGGTTTGTTTGTGTGGGATGGTTTTTATGTTTATCAGTGTGGATGTTGGTGTATGTATGTATGTATGTGTTTGTGCATGTTTGAGTGTTTGTGAGGAGGGGAGACAAAGATTGATGGTCTGTTTCAGGAAACCTGGCACTAGAAAGAATATATCCACTATACCAGTGAGGTTCGATTGCGTGTGGATGCTTGTGTGTGTGTGTGTGTGAGTGTGGATGCTTGTGTGTGTGTGTTTGTGGACTCTTGTGTGTGTGTGTGTGTGCATGTGTGTGTGTGTGTGTGTGTGTGTGTGTTGTCATTGAGCATGAGTTTTCATTATCATTGAGGTTTCCTGAAACCACTAATTTATTTGCTTATTCAATTCCAATGTCCTACATTTTGAGATATATTCTGTTGAAAATGGAATGTTTGGTCCCCTAATGAAACATCGATTTGAGTAGTAGTTTTTCATTAGGGATGACTAGACACACACACACACACACACACACACACACACACACACACACACACACACACACACACACACACACACACACACACACACACACACACACACACACACACACTCACACACACACACACACAAACGAACGCACACTAACATATACACACAGGAACACACACACAAACGCAATTTGATCTTCAGACTCCTGCTCGTGGACTGGTCTGTTAAGAAGCAGGGTCAGAATGTGGTTTCTAATTTGAAGGGATAATTTATTTTCAGGCTGCCCATGAGAAGATCATCTGTTCAATGGTTGTTCACGAGGACCTGCTGATCACTTCTTCCTTCTCTGTCATCAAGGTTAGCGACTGATCTCGTTTTGTTGTCTTTGTTTACTAGGGAGCTTTGATACAAGCACAAAATGGCCATTGCGTAGCTGTTTGGTTTTTTTCGTTTTGGTTGTTTCTCTTTCTTCTTGTCAGGTAACCTGTTTTATCGCTGTTTGTCTTAATATTTAACAACTTTAATATTTTTTTTACTAAGAATAGGGGGAATTTATTTTTCATATCATAGGTGATATTTTATTTCTCTTTGAAAACGTGGATAAAAGCTGGGGGTTTTAAAAAGTACAAACCGAATTTAGTGCCAGAATACATCTATGATGTAATACACTAACAGTATCTGTTACACTCCATAAATTCCTTATTTTTCTCTTAAGTCTAGGTTTTGTAAATTGACTGAATGACAGGGATGACTTCTTGTAATTGTGTTATAAGAATAATTTCTAGCTTTCCAGTGTCGCTGAATCAGCACCAGACCTTTCCAGCTTTTATTTTCGTTGCTATGACCATTTGCAATAACTGACAATGTTCTGATTTCTTTACATTCATAAGTGTCCGCACAGGTGTCCGACACGAAAGCTAAAAATGAATGTGTTAGCTGTCATTATTTTTATTCCATTCAAGAAGTGCATCTCTACCCTTGTATTAACACAGTTTTGTGGGGGGTTTTAATCGGATAATATAATAATATCTTTCTTAGTTGTATGCAGGCTGCCTCAGACACAGCATGATTCATGAACAAACGCAGAGTAACTTTCTCTTGTTTAATGGTAGGACAAGAACTAACACTTACTGTCTTTAGTTAAAAAATGCAGATTGCATCTTACTTCTCTGTTAACTTGACTATTACTACTTGCGCAGATTTAAGATTTATCATAGTAAAAGACATGATATTTGTAGTCAGTTTAACACAGATTTTGGAGAGATCTGTTGTGACATTTTTAAATAAACAATCATTTATTCATAAGTATGTAACTAAAATAGGACAAATTGGTTACTCTACAACCACTTGTCTAGAACGAAAACTAAAGCACAGAAATTAACCTTTCAAACGCAGAATAAATCTCAAGACATTGAGGTTTTAGTACATCCGCGTAATTGTTTGCTGTGTGACCTGGGAAAGAAGTTATATCGTTTCAAACGTAGACAAAAATGCGAACTTCTTAACCAACATGGGCAAAGTCGCTTCAGGGCTCATTAACCCGGTGACCCCGAGCGGGGGAGCTCCGGCGGGCTGCTTAGCCATGCTACCTAAAAGTAACAGAATCAAGCTAAAAGTGACGCCGTGCTTTTAGTTTGTTGGTTTTAAATACCAGATTGAATGTGTAGTAGGCCTACTTTATATGTATATGTAGCAGATGTATAATATCTAGATATCTCAGACTTTTTAGGCTTCATGTGTGTCAGATATGCAACATCTTATATATGTAGCGTAAATCTCCATCAGAGAATGCCTGTATTTTAAGTCGTCCCGTGGGTGGTTGGCGGGAGCTCTGGTGTGGTTTGCTCCTTCTTTTCTATCAAACATCTATCATCCTTATCTCTTCTCCTTCTTTTTTGTGTTTGTTACTCTCTTGTAACACCTCTATTCTTTGGCACTTATATGACCTTATTGTGTTGCAACTTGCGTAAAACACTTACTTAAACGAAATAAGTCATCCCCAAGCTCTCTAACATCTGTCGCTGCACATCCAGGCTGACCAGTGGTATGTCTTGGTCTAGCATAAAAGCCTTGGACATACATATTAGAAGTTTTCAATTTGATTCCAGGCTTAGATTATTGGGTGGTTGCCTCATTCATAAAAGTCTGTACCTGTTTTCTGCAATTTTCTCAACTGTAAATGGATATTGGTATTTGACAATATGTAAATTCTGAATATGTGAACTCCAGTTGCATGCACTTTTATGACTGCAGTTCTGTGAGTCCTGTACACTGAAAGTAGGCCTACTACTTCTGAAGCTGTGTAAGCATTCTCTCACAGAGGATACAAGGCTAAGATCAAGAACATTCATAACAGCTTCTTTTTAAAATACATCATGAACGTCTTTGTGCCCTCCGGTGGCAGGTGTGGGACTTGAAGACCCTGACCCTCAAGTCAACCTTGACCGGACTGAGCCACTGGGTGCGTGCACTAGCGGTAAACAAGAGCAAGGTCAGTATGGCATCATTCTCTCACTGTTGATGAATTTTTGTGCAGTCTGGATTGCTTCCTTTCTTTGTTAACCCCAAGCAGTCCAATAGTTCACTGTCCCTCCCACCAACAGGAGACACAAATACGCCATGGATCGGGCGACACTTGTACCTTTGTACCCTGTCATGGGGTGATATTTGTACTTTGCCACCTGACTTACTATGTTTACTGTCCAGTTCCGTTCCCTACTGATGTGTGCAGAGAGAAAAAATTGACCCCTAAAACCCCACTGTGGGTTGCCTAACTGTTAAATAACCTAGTCCAGTGAGACTGGCAGCCTTTTTTTACATACCGCACATTTGTTACTAGAAATTGAATTGAAAATATTCTCAGCAACAGATGTACCTTAATGTTATTGGGAAAATTTCTCATCAAATCTGGGTAAGGATTCAAAAGCAAATTGATGTCATGGCCAAGATACCGAATATAGCTTTTGCTTGAGAGGGAATGACGTTATGTTGAAGAGATAATGATAATATGAGCATTTTAGATGAATCACCTTTACTGTTTCAATGTGTTTCTCTTTTTTGGGGAACTGAAACTGAGACCTGAGGATGAGAAATCGCTCTGTTGTGTTATTTATCTGGCTGTAAAGGACAAGTCAAACATGAACTCTTAATGATGAAATAAAAGTAAAATCCCACTTTTATTGATCATTGATCGCCATTGGGAAATTTGATTTACAAGGGTGTTAACACATAATATGATAAAATACATAAATATGGTGCATAAATATATAGATACATTGTATACATACAAATATACTACAAGCACACCATTGCTAGTCACCACTGGGCAGTGCCCTGTTTTTATTAGCTGGGATTATTTTGTAGATGTATGCTTGACATAAATTTATTGTGAGCCTTAACTCCCTGACCATGCGTCCACTGGAGACGGATTCTTTTTATTTACCCAGCACTTGATGACTACAGTTTTTGTCTAAACTTAAGCTTCTGAAGTTGTCTGTTAAGCTTTCTTCCTCAGAGCTAAACGGATGTTATAAAACTCAGCAGTGACACTCAGAGATTTGAATTTCAGGCTCTTTTGTTTTGTTCTTGATTGCATTATCACTGTTTTCGTCTCTTGTTAACTGATACTCAAACTTTGACTCAAGCATGTAAGTCTACAGAGTTTTGTAATGTACCCTCCCCTATGAGACTGTTTTAGAACTGTATGTCAGACTTGTGAAGCTACAACATCCTTCTTTTCCTCCAGCTCTAAATGGCAGCTAGTGTTCCTGTGTTCTTTTCATTAAAAGTTGCTGTAGGGCACAATTAATAGATCCTCCTTCTGTACTGTTTCTGTGTTTCTTGTATTTTCGCAATCACATATTGACGGCTGCTATGTTGATGACCCTCACCACTCTGTTTTAGTTGTACAAAACCAGATGTTCCCTCATGTGATGTTTCAGGGCAAGTTGTACAGCGGCTCGCACAATGCTGTCCACGTGTGGGAGATGAAGGACAACTTTGACCGCTTGGCCACCATTGACCACGAGTGTGGCTCTGTCTACAGTCTCGCTGTGACACAGACTTACATTATTACAGGTCATTCAGGTAAAATCCACGCTTTTTTAAAGATTGATGTTATTTGAAATACTAAAACTGTGTTCAATTGTGTCTAAAATCCACAAATTTAATTTCTTTATTAAGTGTAGTGAGGTAAGACAAAAGGCCAAATATGCTCATACTCGCAAAAAATATTTTAGGAATTCAATTATTACCTATTACACGTGTTCATAGCTTAATAATCAAATTAGAGAGAATCACATGGATATTGTCTACCAAATAATAATTTTCTAATAAAATAGTGTTCGTAAATTGTTTGAGATGTAATGTCAGTCCCATAAAGAAACTGTTCCTAATTAGATTCCATAATAACCCCTAAAAACTTTTTATATGATTGTACATGTATTGATGTGCTTGGCAGCTGGTGAATTGTTTCTCACTTTTCAGGATATGGGTGTGCCTGTTGAGGCTCTGAGTTACAGACATTTCAAACCATGTAATTCTCGTTGACTTTGTCATAAATGGAATACAGAGCTCTTATTAGTTTTGGGATGTTTGTTGGTTTGACAACTACTGTACGAAATCACACAGCTCTGTGAGAACTTTGTTTTGCTTTAGCAATAAATGTTCATCTTGACCTGATTTAGAGCTAAATGTTCAGCACTTGGGTGTTTCATCATTATGAAAGAAATGACTTCATTCATTCCAACAGAGGCTTTTGACAAAAACATTCTGTTGTTCAATGCGGAGACACATGAGGTGGTGACCAGTCTGTATGGACATTTTGGCACCATCACTTCACTGGTGACCTCCCCGTCTGGCCGCTTCTTTTTCTCGGCTTCGCAGGACAGCACCATTCAGGTTTGTAAACATGCTCTTGCACGCTCACATGGACACACTGATGCACACCCACACAGGCATGCACACTCACATGGACACACAGATACACACACAGGCATGCACCCTCACATGGACACACAGAAACACACACACACAGGCATGCACACTCACATGGACACACAGATACACCCACACAGGCATGCACACTTACATGGACACACTGATGCACACCCACACAGGCATGCACTCTTACATGGACACACTGATGCACACCCACACAGGCATGCACGCTCACATGGATATACAGATACTCTCACACAGGCATGCACACTTACATGGACACACACACACACACATAGGCATGCACACTCACGTGGACACACAGATACACACACACAGGCATGCACCCTCACATGGACACACAGAAACACACACACACAGGCATGCACACTCACATGGACACACAGATACACCCACACAGGCATGCACACTTACATGGACACACTGATGCACACCCACACAGGCATGCACTCTTACATGGACACACTGATGCACACCCACACAGGCATGCACGCTCACATGGATATACAGATACTCTCACACAGGCATGCACACTTACATGGACACACACACACACACATAGGCATGCACACTCACGTGGACACACAGATACACACACACAGGCATGCACACTCACATGGACACACAGATACACACACACAGGCATGCACACTCACATGGACACACAGATACACACACATAGGCATGCACACTCACATGGACACACAGCTACACACCCACACAGGCATGCACACTCATATGGACACACAGATACACACACACATAGGCATGCACACTCACATGGACACACAGATACACACACACAGGCATGCACACTCACATGGACACACAGATACACACACACAGGCATGCACACTCACATGGACACACAGATACACACACACAGGCATGCACACTCACATGGACACACAGATACACACACACAGGCATGCACACTTACTTGGACGCACAGATACACACACACACAGGCATGCACCCTCACATGGACATACAGATACACACACACAGGCATGCACACTCACTTGGACACACAGATACACACACACAGGCATGCACACTCACTTGGATGCACAGATACACACACACACAGGCATGCACACTCACATGGACACACAGGCTTGCACATTCACATCAACTCAGACTCAAAAAAAGGTTCATGCTTTGCCTTATAAGCGTACAGAAACACATTGTCTTTGTCATTTACCATTGTAGTATGTCAAAATTTTGGTAAAAAGGAAAATCAAATGCGTTGTAGAGTTTGATCAGGAACATCAATTTATCCTAGTCTCATTCTTCTTCTTAACTCATTCGCTACGTATTATTTTCGGCTTGTGGACGAATTTTTTTTGGGGAGAGCGAAAGAGATGAGTGGACAGTTAAAAGGTCTTTGGGGCCACAAATTCAAATAAATATCAACGTATTATATACCAATAATTTTCAGTATGGTTTGTAGAATACATCTGTAATGTTTATTTATGTATTTTTCAACTTTGGTTCCTGTAAGAGATGATTATGCAACACAGTTTTGATTGGATGCGGATAAAATTCGAAAATAAAAAATTTATAATCTTTGGTGAAACTCAAAAAATATGTTTGCACCTAGTCAAATGATACATCAAAATAACCGTAAATGAATATAGAACTGGAAAATATTGAAAAGTTTGCAGTTATTTACCTACATTCCATAATATTTGTACATTTTGAACATAACATCCGATATTGAAAAAAATAAAATTTTAGAAGCTGGAAAAACGATCACAAACAGAAAAAACCCCGCTCGTATCTTATATGGAATTATTCAGAATTGCATGTGGAATAAACCTATACATGTCTTGAGTGGCACTTTTTGAGTAATTTTATCAAAAAGTAGTGATTTTGGGGAGACAAAAATATTTTGACTATTTAGATCTAAACCTAGATCTAGATCTAGCACTCAAAAATATTGATTTCTCAATAACAGTGCATTGGCAATATGAGTCCAATCGTATCAATATTATAAAAAAGAGTCCTACATTTCTTTAGTGGGCAAAATAATGATAGGTTTTGTTGTGTAAAATTACAAAAACTGGTTTCCGGGCTATAATTTTGTCATCGCGATAAAACAAAGTCGAATAAACTACGAAATCGTGTTTCAAAAGTGAATCTAAATTTCCGATTTTCAGTGGAAATGGTTGACCCGGAAGTCAACATTATATTATGACCTTTATTTTAACATGGATGTGTGGATTAGAATAGAATCTAAGCTATAATTGAAGATCGGTTCTCACGCTGCCGGGGGCGGCTTAGCGTACTGATGGCACTTTAGCCGCGCCGCTCCCCACGACTCGGCGTAGCGAATGAGTTAAGATTTAAACATTATGTATTATCATATTGTTCTGCCCAAATTATAAGTTTTGCTTCTCCTGAATACCTCGTACAGTCAAAACTGTCAAAGACGCCCCCCCCTTATCGAGAAGAAAAGTGAATGTATTAGACAGGTGGCTGTCTTACACAGTGTCATTATAATATGAAAAAAAAAATCTCAAGGGAGGAAATGAGAAGTGGCCGTTTGTGTGGGTGATTATCCTATACAGGCGATGTATTGATCATGCAATCACACACGCACACACATATACACACACACACACACACACACACACACACACACACACATACACACACACACACACACACTCTCTCTCTCTCTCTCTCTCCCTCTCTCTCTCTCTCTCTCTCTCTCTCTCTCTCTCTCACATGTACATACGCACACATATATACACGAACAGCGAGTGCTCACTCACATTCATAAAACAGGCTTAATTCACACTTATCTACCGGCCTTTTCTAGACTTGTGAATGTTAGTATTATATTAAATGAGGCACACAGCAATACGTCTCTATGATTCAGTGTGTTATCTTACAAAGGTTCACAATGATATACTATAAATTTTCATAAAATGAAGCTGTGAATGGAAATAGATTCCAGTATTGGGAAAAGAGCCAATTTGTCGAGTAGAAGATTTCTTAAAATATATTATTCTGAAAGTTGAACCACATACATTTGGAATCCCACTGGACAAATCTTTATGTGAATCATGGCTAATTGAATTGAGGAAAGTGGGCATGCAGGGAAGAAGATATTTTTTTGTAGAAAGTAGAGCTTTTTGACAGTAATGGGACGTAGTGAAGGGCTAAAGGGCTTGAGCCCTACCCCCAACTCTTTTCCTACGTAAATGAATGTTTCTTAATAAATGAAATAATCAGTTGATACCATTAACACTGCTTCAGAATCTTTCGCCTCTAGTTGCATTCAGTGAACACACATGATTTGCTCATTTATCCCGTCACTGTTGACACCGCTTACATTGATAATACCTAACCTAAAAGCAAATCAAATGTCTTTAGAGCTCACCAGAAGATGAACTCGTTCCCACGGTCCTCTCTGAAGAATACTTCTTGTAAAAAGGTAAAAGACAAATGTGAACTTGCGAAAATCGTTGTTAGAGAGAGCTCGTCCTCTTCAAGCCCTGACAATGGGGGGGGGAGTTCATGACACACTTTCCCAGAGACCCAGTAACCGAAACAAACTCATCAGGCCCTCGTCAAGAATGTCATGTTTTCTTCGACAAAACAGTTTATCTAGTGACTGTTGTATTAGTGCTTGTGAGTGTGGTGGCTATGTGACACACATACGTACAATCATACGCATGCACACACATGCACAACTATATACACTTACACATATCTAAAGTTTGACAATGACAATGACAATGACAATCTTTATTCATCTCGCAGGGAGAAATTTGTCTTGGTCGTTAACAATGGCAGTAGACGTTACAAAGGTTAGACTTAAAGGTGCACTCACGCAAACGCACAACAAAGTTTTGTTGGAACCAAGGAAATCATACCTTTTATCTCAACCTACCCTTATTTCTGAGCCCCACCCACATTTTAATCCTCCCACTGCCACTTCTCCATAATCACTTTTAAAAGTAAGACTGATTATATTTCGCAGATTTAAAGTTTAGTCTAAGATCAAAGGCTTTGTGCTGGCAATGAAAATTAAGCTTTAATGAATGGATTGACCCTGCACCGTCACAAAACACTGCTCATGCACACACACTGACGTACTTTCATGTGTTCTCAAATACACACATTTTTACCCACAAAGACTATACGGCAACTAGCACCTCTGCGTGAGCTGTCTTTTTCCTAGGTGGGTACATTCATGCTTTTGTCCTTTTTTTTAAATTCGTATGTTAGCCTACTTCATTTCTCTGTTTTGTTGAATCATTTAGTAAACCCACTGGCCCATTCTTTCTTTTGTCAAAGTTTCATTGATTTTTTGTACTTTGTCCCTGCTAGTTGTGGAGCCTGGAGAATCTTCTTCCCATCCAGAGGCTGTCTCGCCACCAGGGTAGTGTCAACACGCTGACGATTCATGGAGACTTTCTGCTCTCTGGCTCTGAGGATCATGATGTAAAGGTGAGTTACATTACCTTACTTACGGTGTTGATGGTGTCTGACATAAAGTAGCAGAGTGTGGAAACCATCATTTTTATTTTTTTTTAGGAAGGAGATAATAAATGGCTTCATTATGTCATGCTAGTTCTTTTTGTTTTGAGAGAGAACTTATGGTCGTTAAAAGTTTTGCAAATTTGGGCTGCTTGTGTCACCTACTCTTGCCACCTTTTCTGTTACTGTTACTTGATTTCTTTTTCCGTTAACTTTTTGTTACACTACTCTTTTTGCAGTACCAATGTATTGTTATTTCTTTTTAAGTAAAGCAGAAGTAATGGAGTCTCAAAATTTTCATGAGCTAACTTGTAGCCTCCAAGAGCTCAAGAATTGCATGTGGGCAACATTACCCAAATTATACGAGGTCTATTCTTCTTTAAACTTGAGTTAGACATGAGCATAAGCCCAAAGTGTATATCACTACATACTCTATTTAAATTCATCAGAGGAGGCTCTCATTAATTACTTTTTGACAGTAAAGTTTTCATATCGTCGGCCGAGAATTCTAACCGTCTAACTCCGAAATTTTCTCGAATTGCTTTTTTCCTTAAAATAGATCGACATAACAAATGGCTACGTCCTATTAAAATCTAGAACAATTTTGACAAACAAAAGTCTTGTTTTAAAGAGAAATTCTAACCGTATATTCCGACTGGCTTCCGTGACTGAAGAATTCTAACCGTCTAATTCGTTTAGGTAGCCCGCCACTGTGGATCACGGTGATAACGTTTTGTTCTGAAGGAGTCGTTTGATTATAAATAAATGTAAAATCAGAAAAGGTTGCTTTTGTTAAAGGGTTGGTTGACTGTGTCGAGCCTATGGAGAAAAAGGAGAGAGAAAGCAGAAGATCGTGGTCCATGAAGTACCATCTGCGAGTGAATGGGGCCAGAGTAAAAGTGTGCACGGCTTTCTTCTTAAGTCCTGTACTTTGTTATTAGTGTGTTCACATTGTTCTCACATGTGGGTTGGGTGTAGCAGAGGGTGAGGTTCCAGTTCAGAGAAAAAGGGTTAGGGAGGAGACTACAGAATCAAAGGTACTTAAACAGTTTCTTCGTGATCTGCCCAAGTTGCCATCTCACTATTGCTGAAGGACTCCAGTAAGTTGTACTTGGAACCTGTTTTCCAGAGCTTACAGGCAGTGTACCGCCATTTGTATAAAGAAAAGTGGGGGGGGGGGGGAGTACTTTCTACCTTCGAGTTTAAAGAGGAGATCAATGCTATGAACCTGTCATTGTTCCATCCTCGAAAAGATAGGTGTGATCTTTGTGTGGGCTTTGAGGAGGGGAATGTGGAAGAGGGGGCATACAAAAAAGACAGCAGACAAGGAAAAATGCATGGGCAGCCCCAAAATCAAATACATCAAAATGGACCAGCAATCAGTTCTGCTATATCCACGCACCAATGCTTCTGTTTTGTACTACAAGACGAAATTGAATGTACACAATTTCACAGTATAGGAACTAGAGAGCAAGGACTGTGTATGTTATGTCTCAAATGAATGCAAAGGTGCTCTGACTGCAAATGAATTTGCTCCTTGTGTGGCTGATTTTTTGTCATCTGATTTGACTCCAGATCATTATATTCAGATGGATGTGGTTGTATCAGAACTGCAAAGTCACAATGAGTTCTGCACTGCTACATTTCAGCTCTGTCAATGGTAAAACTGTAACACTAAAATTCCTAGAGAAGGGCTATACACAGATGGAGGTGGACAGTGCTCACAGCACATCTACTACCCAGCTGATTATGTCAGGCTAATGGAAGAAAGTAGGAAAGTGAAGCCATATGTTGTCAAGTATTTGGCTCATTGTATCTTTTCTGATTTCATCAAACTAGCCAACCAGAGTTTTACCAGACCACTTTAATACACACCAGATGGTCACATTAAATACAAACTGAGATTTGATGATTACTGGTCACATCTGTCTTTGAAGCGTGGCGAGTCCACAGACATTCTCCATAAAGACATGAAGGGACTGCCTCTGTACCAGGGTAGAAAGTTCAAACACAGGCAAGAAATGAAGTCTGTTGTGCCATCTGACTACCACAAGATCTATGACAATCTAGAATTGAGTACGTCACCAGTGCGCAAGTTAAAACGCACGGCTATGTCTAATTTGATATGCAGTGTATTGTGCTTTGGTTTATGTAGTTTATTTTTAGCTAACCAGAGCTTTAGCTTCATTGGGTAGAGCATTTTAAAGCCTCATAATGGTGCTTGGACAAGAGGATAATTCATTCCTGTTGACACTGGATGCTGCTATGGCATACCTCATCTTGATGACTTTCTCTATAAAATGTGTTATTTAATTAGGCCATACATTAGGTGGGGATGCATTATATGAGGTTTAGTTGAGCTTTAAAAAAAATCATATTACTTCTAGTCTTCCAACCAAGTTAAACCATGTTTTTAGAGTCAGAAGCATTTCAGTTTCTTCCACTGGAGAACTGATGGGTCGCTTTTCAATCTTGCTCGACTTCGAGCCAAGACCAAAATCAACAAACCAAACAACAATACAAGACCTTTTCTTTGTCGGTGATGCTGCTGTTGTCGCTCATAATGAATCAACCCTCCAAATAATCCTGTGTTTAAGAAGATTGAGATGGCAGGGCCATGTCAAGAGAATGGACGACAACCGGATTCCGAAGCAATTTCTCTATGGACACTTGCCCGTGGAAAGAGACCAAGGGGAAGGTCAAAACTGAGGTACAAAGACATCTGCAAAAACAGATTATCTAAGCTTGGAGTAGATGTCAGCATCTGTGAAGAAATAACCGAGGACAGGAAAACATGGAGGAAAATGATAAATGAAAGAACTATTATGTTAGTGACTAGAGAGCAAACACTGCGACACAATCTGCACTTCAAACAGAAAAAATTAGCCATAAAAGAAGCTCTATGAAGACAACTCGTATATGGAAATTCTTCTCTGGCCCCCCCCCCCCCCTCTCTCTCTCTCTCTCTCTCTCTCTCTCTCTCTCTCTCTCTCTCTCTCTCTCTCTCTCTCTCTCTCTCTCTCTCTCTCTCGCTCTCTCTCTCTCTCTCTCTCTCTCTCTCTCTCTCGCTCTCTTTTGTTCGGTAACATTAACGTGTCACGATGACTGAGTTAGACGTAACGAAGCGCATGGCGTCCCCGCCGGGTTGGAGATTCTAAACGAACAATTCGTTCGTCGAAACTTGGATGCTTAGAAATCCACACCTGTGCGGTGTATCCGTATAACTCTGGTTTAGGACTTGAAATAATAAAATTTCGGCAATTTGTTTTAAATACTTAAAAGTAGAGTCATGTATTCCAGTCTAGTGCATTTAAAGATAGAAAATCCCCATAAGAGCCTTTGAATTCAGTTTTTTGTCGCTCCTGCAAAATTTACGAAATTGGAGTTGGACGGTTAGAATTCTCGGCCGACGATATCTGATTTATGAGAGAAGACAAGGACTTTTGAAAATGTATGGGTTAATATTTTATTATTCAGACCCTACATTAGCAAACAGTCACATAAACTGAGTAGCTCAGAGTCTTTTCTTTTGAAAAAATTTTTATGGGTAAAAAACAATTCAATTGTACCATTGCCCAGACATTTGATACCCATACTTTAGGCTGGTTCAGTGAGTGTTTTCGTTTTTTGAATGACTTCGCATTACGGGTGAGGGAAACATCAATCATTGCTTTAGGCCAGTCTGAAAAACAAACTGATAATTTGTAAAGATGCTGCGCTCTCAATGTTGCTATATGTATGGCACAAAAAAAGTTTTCAAGGTTATATTGTTTCTTTTGACCCGACATGATAACGTTCAAATAACAAACAATTTTTTAAAATGTAGGCCTAGTTGTTGCACTTCATCATCATGAGAGCTCTACAACTGCCACCCATTTTCCTGTAATAATTGTCTCTAGATTGTCACTGAAAGGAAAGAATCATAATTCCCTGACTCAAAATTCACAAATCAGGAGCATGGAGCGCGTATAGCCACCAGAGAACCATTTTTCCTTGATTTGTGAAGACGGCCAAGTACCCAGTTTTTAGGCATATGATGTTATTAGTATCATCTTAAAACTTGCTCATTTGTCTTGCTTTTGAAGAAAAAAATACGCCTCTATCTTGAATTGAAGTGGAGATTTTTGTGATCGAAGGAAGTGGAGATCGCCTAATGTCAGAGGTAATATTAGTGAGAAAATGACTTCTGAAATTTGGAGGCTTTCAAAGCTCAAGTGTCCTTCGAAACTGCAAATTTACATTTCGTTGCTGAGCAAGCAATCCATTTAAGTCCAAATTTTGAGAAATTTCTATTTTTACACTCTTAAAGCTCTGTCAAAGATGTACCTTTCAACATCACCAAAATGCAGTTTAATGCTATGGTCAAGGCTTACAATTTCTTGCTTATCATGATGCTTGATAGGAACAACATAACCAAAACTAGGTCCAGTTGTTTTTTCTCCAACGTAAATAAAATGGTTTTTGCTGTAAAATCTACACAGAAATGATTTTAAATGAGTATAGAAAGTGTTGAGCCCCCTAAAAAATTAGGGCCTAGATGAGAATCGCTTACAAACGTTGGTAACTTTGATTTCATAATTTTGACTAGTTCCTGATTTCACCACGATGCCACACAATTGCCCAAAATGCATCAACAAAACATTAAAACTGTACATTTTGTCCTCATTTTTAAAATCTTCTTTGGAGTGAACGTAAGTGTGTTAGTCTCTAGCTCTTTCCCAACCAGACCATTTCCCTCACTGTAGCTAAGCCAGTTTAGCAACATTTTTTTCCATTTTGACTGTAATCAGAGAAAAATATGATTTCAGTATTTTTTTCAGAGAAATTTGCATATTTTATATATAACTATGAATATATATATATATATATCGAAATGCAAGGAAATAAATTTCTAATCACACAGTTGTTGTTTTTTTAAGTAACTTGAGCATAGAAAGTGATGTTTGTGAGTCTGAAAACTTTGGAAAGTAATGACATTATAAACATTTTGTAGGACCTTGCTTTTATGGCCATCATAAAGCGTGGGTCGGTGGTTAGAGAGTGCTCTGGTGTGGTTTGCTCCTTCTTTCCTATCCAGCATCTATTGTCCTCATCTCCTCCAGCACTTATATATGACCTTTTTGTGTTGCAAGTGCCGCAAAATTCTAACTAAAAGTAAAAATATAAGTAGGCCAACGGTTCACACAAGCTGCATTTTGGGGCTCATGTTAGGGAATAAGTGACGCTTATTGAATAAGTTTATTGTAAGCAGCTTTGTCAGACCGAGCTGTGCACTTTACTCCGTTTGTGCTACCCAGTTTGCTTGCTTATAGACTGTAAAATGGATAGAGCTTGCTGTTGAGTGGGAATTTGCACTGTACAAATGGTATCTATTATAATTTTTAATTTTTTTTATCACATTCGACTTGAAACGGAGAAGAAAGGAGAAGGTTGCCTTTGAGTAA